ACCCGGGCTGGACCAGGAGAGCCAGGTATTATAGTACTACTATAGTAAGCGCTGAGGCCGCCCATCTTATTATTTGTGTATATCTGTTTGTCAGGGACTTACGGGGGTCAAAAATAGGGTCAAAGGGGAAGTGGTAAGAAATTTTGGCTTCAAAGGGGATATCGTTTTCAAAATTCTGAAATGCCACCTCCTGCCGGGCCCTGATTTAGACTGGGCCAACAAATACTCGAATCTATGTTCCAAAATGATGAGACCACAGGCCGTTCAGTCATGACATATAGCGCAAGCACTGGCATCCGCTGAATTTTCAATCCCCCAGCTGCTCCATGGATGGGAGGAGCCTGGGAGAGATTAGTGAGTACAGTAAAGAGAGCCCTCCAAAAAGCATTCGGGAGAAAAAAGTTCACATTTACGCAGCTTTGTACGGCAGTCACCCGCATAGAAGCCATAATCAATACAAGACCGTTGGCAAAATTACCTTCAATGGACATCTCGGATATACCACTCCGACCCGTCGACTTTCTACAGGGAAACCTGGCGTACAGCATACCGAATGTCGGCTTGTCCACGGAACGCGACAACTCGTATGATGCTGACCTAATTCAAACTGCGCTACAAGCAAGAGAAGCTTTAGAATATTCAGAGACCATAGCCAACAAATTCTGGAAAAGGTGGAATATTAAGTACCTGACAACGCTTCGCGAAATTCAGCAATCCGAACTTCGTCAATCCAGACATACCGCCCTAAGAGAACCCATCGTCGGTGAGATAGTTTTAATACAACAAGTTTTTATACCACGAGGCAATTGGTCTTACGGCAAAATCGTTGAACTTCTGCGAAGCCAGGACGGTCAGGTTCGCTCTGTCAAGTTACAGCTACCAAATAGGCACATCCTACATCGTCCACTAACGAAAATCTACTTGGTAGAGCTTAGAAACACACCATTCAACGACAATCCCCATGAGGAAATACAAGATAATGCTCCAGAGACAGCAACGAGACCTCTACGGCAAGCTAGAGTAAAAGCGCTACAAGCAATTCAAGAGTTTGAAGAAAGCTTAGAAGAGCCTGACACATCACGCGCTTCCCAATACACCAGTTTGGGAACATATCCACTCTTACTCACACTTTTCCTAACCATCATTAGCGCGGCAAATGCAACGTAAGGCGCACTAAATTGCCTTAATGATACAGTGAATATAACCTCACCGAAAGAGCAGTTCGAGCTTTGCATAGCCGAAAAGTGCAAAACTTATGCAAAAAACAGCTCTGACCTATCACTGCATTTACCGCACACGTCACAAGCAAATAACATTAGCATATCCATGAAATTCAAATCGTCTACGAACATGGTTCACATAGCTAGAACATGCAAAATGCCTTCCATATGTGAGTATCCTCATTTAATTCTATCAAAAAAGCTTCTTGCTAACCCACACTGTTGGCCTACAGGTGCAGTCATCTCAATAACAGCACTAATCTACCTCGTGCTTACACTTCCACTCATCCTATACCTTTGTTGCGCAAAACGCAAAAAGGAACAAATTCGTTACAGGCCAAACAACAGATTTTCACTCAGAACTTTCGCACCAGCACCCATACATAACACAAACATCTCGCCCTGAGCTTACTCGCCCTCACCACACTGGCTAACGCCTGCCAACACGGGCATATGAGGCACAACGTAGATCTTGAGTTCGGCAGGGACAATCAGTGCTCCTACGAACTCAGTAGAGAGGTGCTCTCAAACAAAATTCAAGTGAATCTATGCGTTCAGTTACGCCACGCAAACAAAACTATAGGAACACTACATATCAAAAATAACCCATTAACAATGGAATGCTCGAGGCGCACACTGTTTTTCACCAGAGATAACAAACCACGTGTTTATAGCCCGGTCAGATGTCATCAGGCAGGGTCTTGCACAGAACAAATATGCGCGAACCTCAAAGCTAATGGAACGGTACAGGAGCTTGAGCTTCAACACGCCGAAGAATATTCAGGGTACTCAGGATGTAAAAGAGCCTGTGGTGGATTAGCTTGTGGATTTTTTTCCCGATACCGGCCTGCTCGTTTTACAGAGTCGCACACGTACCACGCAACGAGGACGTATATGAAGTCTTAGATTGCTTAGAATGGAAACCCAGCGTCAACCTTTTTTTGCAACTTACGTTTTTCAATAGGGTAGCATCCAAACAGATGATATTGCTACCCTATGTAACACAAAAGTTCGAAGAAATCGAGTTCACAGTCATATCAGTGCATAAACCGGCACTCCCCGTACTTCACAGGCGCTTCGCTATCTCTAACAATACCGCATTAGCAATTCCAGAAGGCTATAAACTACCGGTCGAATGTTCATCCGCAGCTAATGCACTGTCAAAATTCAGATCCTGTGCAAATCGCATGACATACCCTCGATACATAGAGCCATGTACTCTGGTAACCTTCACTTTGAGGGCCATGAGAGGAGACAACCTTCACTCGGAAAAAAAGAAGTCATCCGGGGCTTCGCCCCGGATGCTATAATCCAGACTATATCGGAACGAATGCGAATAAACCGAATATAGGAGAAAATATCTAAAGAATATCTTAGTGAAACCGAGAAATTGCCTTTTCAAAGCCTTTTTTTATGCTGTGAAGAGATTTTCTGTGAAACTTTCCTCAAAATTCAGGACAACGTTTCTCAGTTAGCCTCTTCTTGACCAAAATTGAGTTCCAGAAGTTTGGGAAAGCTCGTGGAGTTGAATTAAAACGACAAACTGCGCTCAAATGTGCGCAGAGAGTCGCGCACAAAAATGCTGGTCTATCTCGTTAGTGAGTGAATTTTAAAGCTTGGGACGTTGTCAGTTCTCCTCGTCGTGTCATGACGGTCAGAATGATATATAATGTTGCAGGGTTTCGTTGAGACCCCGCGGAGATCTACGACCAGAGCCAAATGCCCCGTCGGCTCTGGTCTGGGCTCCGCTGCTCGTCTGCGTCTCCGCGCGCTGCGCGCTACCTCGCTACCCCAAACGCGGAGCGCGGGGCATTTGGCTCTGGTACCCTTTTCTCCGCTGTTTCAAACTCAATTTTGACAAGCTATATATCGTTTTGAAGCTCTTGATCTCTACATTCAGCTTGACAACGTCCCAAAACCACATTTTTTTAATTTGAAAGAGAAATCCGGCAAAAACCTTGTTTTCGAAAATCTCTTGTTTTTCTTCTAATTTACCTCTTTTTACGCGGTTTTTTCGTGCATTCTATAGATCTTGCTTCTATTCATAATGCAGACAACCACCCAGCTCTTATCTCTTCGATTATTGTGGAATTTTTCGCGAAAAATCGTAAAAAGTGCGTTTTTCTTTACCTTGTTCTGTTTCAGTGCTTTCGCATCGATTTTTTTCAGCTTGGGCGATTGTTGCTCAGCAGAATAAGCGCAACAATCCAGACAACGTCCCAGGAAACAGGAATGTCAGTGCGGGGTAAAAATATAAAGGACGCATCAAAAATCAAAGCCCCGTGTTGCGAATTGCTGGTCCTAAAGCGAAAACTTGCACCTTGAAAAGCCGCCAAATGAAAAATTTCAAGCCTCATTGCAGCGTTTTTATCCGGTTTTCAGCAGTTTCTTTTGCTTTTTATATCTGTTTATGTCATTTTCTCTTCTCTGATGATCTTTAAACAACCTTCACTATTTATGACGTCAGATGTTCAAACAACCTTCACTTTTGACGTCTCTAGACTATCGAAGGTATGTCGCATGATATGTGCATGCAGAGGAACAAACCCGCCAAGCCGATGCGATTGCCTAAATGAGAACATACAGGATATCAAAGCACTCAGACACTGGGAGCGGGCGAGCCGCAGCCCAATTTCGGCCGCGCAGTCGCAGCTCCCGCGGGCCGGCCGTGAATGGACAGTCGGCTCGGCCGTAAATGAGCCGCGGCTCGCCCGTACTGGGCCGCGGCCCGGCCGGGAAAGAGCCGCGGCTCGGCTGTATTGGCTCTTATTAAATCGTTCTAGCACTTCCAAAAATGGAAATTTTAGCTGCTTCTTTTAGCACATGAAGACAACAGAACAATCACATATTCATGACAACTCATTTATCTTCTGTGTCCAGAATATACATAAAAAATAGTCACAATCATGAACAGAGAATCAAACAATCTACAAAAAATGATGATATCCAGGGTAAAGCGGGGGATGTGGCACACGACCGTCGGATACGACCCCCCTCCCCCCCCCCCCCTAGGCCGGACCCGGGCACGACCCCCCCCCCCATTCCTTCCTCCTCCCGCCCTTGCTGCCGCTCTCGTTTGCCGGACAATCTGTGAAGGTAAATCTAAAAACCATCAAGTCAAATTCCTCTTGAGAAGTAGAACCGCAATATTTTTGAGCTTCAGTAGTATCATAACGATGTTACATTTAATGTAGGTAAACAAAAACACCAAAGCAAGATGGCAATCCTCCAAAATTTGTCAGCTAATTCTCACTAAAATTAAGTGATCATCGAACCAGCTCTTGGAAGTCCATGAAGAATGCAAATGAAAGTGCTAAGCACAAGTAATTCAGAACTAACCGAATGCAGTTTGGAAAACTTTGACACCAAATATTTACTTCTTCGAAAACCTCAAAGTATCACAACACCAAAGGTACACATGAATGAAATGACCAATTTCGACCTCGCCTTATATACATCGAAGAGCTCTGAGGACAAGTCTGACGTGAAACAGCACAATGGATAATCGTAACATTGACCTGATAGTCAGTAGACTAGGAAAATCACTCTAGAAGTGAATGTTCATAAAATGAGCAAGTAACTATTTGTTCGAATGACAGACTGCTATCAAACGGCAACTTGATACCTTACTGATGAAATGCCAAAGTTCATACAGGTAAAGGAAGCAAAGAATACCAAAACAGTATATGGGTAGCAAAAATATACGAAGGCAAAATATGCAACAAGAAGACCATAGAGAATGAAGACTCAAGAAAGAAGATCTGAGAGGTAATCGACCAACTAAAACAATCCACCGCCTTCGCCACCGCCAGCTTTTGCAACTGCGCCATCATATTTTGCAATCCACCCATTCCGCCCATTTGTTGCAATACCCGTGGATCCATCATCTTTGCCATCTGATGATTCAGGGTTGGGCCAGACTGCGCGGCGTACGCGACGTACGCAGCGTACGCCGCGTATGCTCCTATGATGAGATATACCGAGCGAACGCTGCGTACGCCGCGTACGCCGCTTCCCCGCGAAGTCTGGCTCAACCCTCAGCTTCATCATTTGCGCCGGATTGACCTTCTTCGGATTGATGTCACCGTTCTTACCCTAAATAAATTGCTCATTAAGATTTTAGAGACTCTAAGTCGTGACAGATAAAACACTTTCAAGTTTTCTCCGAAGTTAACATTGGAAGCAATTAAAGTCTTCAGAGTGGAAAAAATATACGTACCGAGAACAACCCCTTAATTGAACCCATCTTTTTCACCATGTCTGAGAACTTGTACTGACTCAACAGATCACGAACCTGGCAGGTGGTGAAATGAATAAAATTGATCGAAATAGCAAAATCACCACTTACCTCCGCATGTGTTGTGCCCGACCCTCGTGCAGATCTTATCACTCTTCTTGGCTCTTTCGAGAACAGTTCAGATGCTTTGGGATGATCAAGCTCTGAAACAAAAACAAAAAAGATTCAAGAAAAAAAATTGGATTGAAGCTGTCGTACCTGTGGCACTCATGGAGTCCATTAAGGTCATAAGCTTTCTCAACCTGCCAACTGATCCCTTATCGTTGCCCTTCGTCATAAACTCCGGTCCAAAGCCAAGAATCATGCTCTAAAAAACATAAACAAATTGTAAGAGAATAAATTGGCAAAATACGAAACCTATCATTATCTGACTGAACGGTCCCATTCTCATGATATTTTGAAAATTGCTCATACATATTACGAAGTGTAAAAAGACCTAAAACAGTCTTATAAGTAGAATACAATAAACTCCACAGTCACCAACCATGCTTCAGACGGCTAACAAGATTTTCATTATCCTTTATGCCAATATCATTAACCATATCCACCAATCCAGCAATATCTCCCATTCCAAGAAGTTTTTGCACGAATGCCTTTGGTTTGAACAGTCCAAAGTCATCGATATGCTCGCCGGTAGCAATGAAATATGACCGAGGAATGAGCCTGCCTTCACATTAGCATCCAATTCATCCTCCTCAAGTGGCGACTCAATAGCTACGGAACTCTCCTCAGCTTCTTCGACCGGTCGTGATGCAGATCGCCTGTGAGACATATCCTCCATACTTCCCACAAGCTGGGACTCAGCTAGGAAGACTGAAAGACGTGAAAACATAGCAAGGAACATGAGAGAAACAAAGAGTTGATGGAAAAGAACGAAAAAAGCGAGGACATCACAGCCCATAATGAGAGTGGGATTTAAAGACTCGCATCTCGCGCCTCTGTGTTCTGACAATTTTTCGAGCACTACCGTAACCCAATATTTTTTGGCCGCACTTCCCAGTATGGCTCGCAAAAACCATAGTATGTATCTCCTTCTAAAGAAAAAGGTTCGAGGGGAAACAGCTACTACGGAGAGAGGAAGGATGAATCTATAGGATGATATCAAAAAGGCAGCTGTTTGAACGTTTTGAAGGTAAGTTAATGGGGTGCGGCACCCCCCCCCCCCTTAAAAGCTGCGGCAGCCGCAGCTTTTGAGGGGGGGGGGGTGCCGCACCCCATTAACTATATCAAAAAACATTTTTAGCAGACATTGTTTATATGAGTCGATAGCCTAAACCTTGTAGATTCCATAGGACTGTTTTGAGCCTGATTCCTCGTCTTAGCTCTGAGTAATATTTGGTGAAAGCAAAGCGATCAAAAGCGAAAAATGGGAAAAACGAGATTTTGGTTGGCTTCTAATTCCACAGTTTGGAGGTCTTCTGAAGCGGGATTCCTGAGGTGGACAAAGAAGGAGTAGTGCTTTGTCTTCAGTGCAAAAGCTGATAGCTAATTCACCTTTGAAACAAAGTTAACCATGTTGGAATTTGACCATTTCATTTAGGTAGCCTAGTATCTTGAATCTTCAGAATTCGCTCACACTTTGTCTACAGGGGTTGATTGACATGCTAATTATAGATATGATACGAATATCATGTCATCACTATTATCAGATTACCCAACTACGACTCCCTCCCCTTTTGACTCCTCAGTGCGACCCCCCAGGTAGTGTGGCGTGCCGCACCCCATGCTTGACCCTGATGATATCCTTATTGCGCTGTTCTACTCCCATTGTTCTCAAAGGCGCAAATATGTTTCGTCATCTATCATCTCCATGTTGTCTTCGGCAGCCTCGACCAAAGCTTTTCTTTTCTGCCTCTGAAACATTTGGATAACGCTGAAGTAGCCAATATAATTTATACGAACTCACATTACTTGTTTTTTCGATGTTCTCCTCGGGCACAGCCACGCTCTTCATTTTCTTTTTCTGGGACATTTGGAATCGCTGAAGTAGCCAAGTTTATGTATCAACTCACATTACTCGGGCTCCACGTATTGTCATTCTCCTTGTATTTCGATGCTCGGACATCCCTTCTGGAAGTCAAAGTTACTGATAATCAAAATAACTTCGTTTCACCATGTACAGAGCTTTCTGTAAGGCCTGATAAAGGTATGGCCGCCATTGAGCTCGCTCTTGTCTCATCTGCGAAAGCTCTTTCCTTCTTTCCTCTTCATTTTTTCCCAAGCTTTCGTAGAAGATAGTAGGTATGATCTATGATTTTGTATACCTCAAAGTTCATAATTTACTCACATCATAAGCGCTCTGATTGAAAGTGCGACATTTCTTCCTCTCCAGTATCAATTTGGCGGCCTTACCCATGTGAATTGTGCCGCGGCTGATACAGTCGTAAAGGGATGACAGTGGTTCCGTTAATAATCTTCTTGGCTGTTCATAAATGTGCTTCAAGTGCTACCCTTGCTCGTATATTCTCCCTACCTGGCCTGACTCTAGCAGGAACGGTGCTGTTGCAGGGACGAAACATGAATGAATGAAGAATGAAGAATGTCCAAGCGAAAGAACGGAAGAGCACCAACGCTCTTGTTGAATGGAAACTACCTTCGTCAATGATCATTACGAGATCATGACTAACTTGTAAATTTGCATATCGCTGGTCAGGTAAGCAAAGCAAGAGCCGCGGGTCGGCCGCTGCAATGAACAAGGGCCGCGGGTCGGCCGCACTCACAAGGGAAGTGTCAGAACTCGCAGTGGCCTTTTGACATGAATTGGGTATCATCTGAAGCAGCTTGAAATGCTGATTCCAACTCTGATTCCAAAACAGCCTTTCTTAGCTGCAGAACTAATCTAGGACGAGAGTTATTGAATTTAATTTGCGGGAAATTTACAACACTGAGAATAGCCAAAAATTAGAGCGAACATTTTTTTGGGCTCAAACATAGATGAAACAGTCCATCAATGTTTAACGTAATTCTGCACCTTCATCAAAGTCATGCTGTGGTGCTTGAACAAGCATTTGAAAGGTTTCCGTGATCACAGAGTACTTCAAACAATGTAAAATTTAATGTTTAAAATGCCCATAACTCGCGACCCAGATCAGTTCTGCAGCTAAGAAAGTTTGTTTTGGAATCAGCATTTCAAGCTGCTTAAGATGGTACCCATCCCATGTCAAAAGGCCACTGCGACTTCTGACATTTCCCTTGTCAGACCACGCCTTTAAATTAGGGCCGCGGGTCAGCCGCGATCTGGCCCGCCCCCAAAATAAGGCCGCGGGCGGGCCGACCCGCTTCCAGTGTCTGAGCAGATGAATCAAACAAGCTGCCTACATTAACACCAATCTCACAAACATTCGTCTTTGATAACAGCATCGTGACAAGTACACAGGGGGCTGAGGTTACAATGAAAATCGAGTCGAAACTGCTTTTAGACTCGGGGCATTACACCTTAAATCAGGAATGCCAAGTCTCAGTCACTACTGTGACAGGATGTTACGACTGTAAAGAAGGCGCAACTATATCCATATCATGTCTAACCGAAATCGACGCGTGGCTGACCATAAGATGCGGTGCGCACACTTTTCCAGTCGAATGGGTGCAAAAACTATGCAATCAAAAGTTGTATTGGATTATGATCGCGCTATCGTAGAGGAGAGATGCACAGCAACATGTAAGGGAAAACAGATCGAATTTGATCTAGCCGGACACCTCGAATACATGCCCAAACACCTGGAAGCGCCGTCGTTTGAGACTAATGGGGACTTCATATGGCATCAGAAACTGGATTGGTTTAGCGATATCAAAATACCAGAATTTAAGCCACTTATGAAACTGATAGCACAACACTGGAAACTAACTCTGGCAGCGGTGAGCTCAGCACTCATAATCACCCTCTTAGCGTACTGCCTGGGACCGATGGTACTGGTTACTATTGTAAAAATAATCGTACTCGCAGTGCAAAGCGTGCTACGAATCTTTGGCACTTTGCTTGCACTCATCTTCAACATATGTAGAAAACAATGAAAAATGCAAATGAAAGAAATGAAATTGCAAAAAAAAAATGAAAATGCAAATGAAAATGCATACACTTGTACATAAGTAATGTATAAAACAAATAAACAGTAGATAATATGCTATTAACAAATGAATCCTCACCTTACCTTATCATCGTATGAAGATCTGCCTCTGTATCTAATCATTCTCCCTCCGGCAATATCGCCTGCAACTCTTTGTAGGTAGTTGCTATATGCTATTGCAACGCATCCTTTAAATGCTCCCGTCCCAACAAGCAACACATCTATTCCAGCTAAACGCCACTATGCTGGACGAGGTCGACATGGTGACGCATATTGAGCCCCTCGCAAACCCCGTCAGGACCATGGAGCAAAAGATCGACTTCCTCCTTCAATCATTCGAACAACGCATGCAATCCACTGTCCAGAGATTGGAGGTACGTCTAAGGTCATACGAAGGCGCTCGACACGCTTCTGGACCGTTCAAAGCCGCGCTCCTACTGTGCATTCTGCCCCTATGAGGCATCCGAAACGCTCACCCCACGGGAAGATGCCCAAGATACCCGACGCAGTGGCAAGAGCAGTGCAGGCCAACGTTTTGGGCCTTTGCAGCAAATGCCTACAACCACGCCACGGCCAGGACTGTGGAGTGAAGTGCTCCATCTGCACCGCCGATTAGAACATGCTCCTGTGCCCGTCGCGTGGCACATAAAACGCTTTCAAGCGCAGAAAGGTATCATCTTAATAGCTTTACACACACTTTTTCTTTTTTCCATTTTTTTTCCTTTACTTTACATATTTAGATTTGAACGTTCTGACTCCTATCCCTCCCCACACCACCGTCCTCGCCATCGCTGCCCCTTCATCGCAATCAAGTCCACAGCACACCATCGTTGTCGCTAACGCTGCCCCTCTACGGCTATCAACCCGTCCGCTCATCGTCGTCTTCCCTCCGCATCACACCCTCCAGCCGCCAAAGTCGATCATTTGTCTTCCCGTTTCTTTTGGTTGTTAATTTTCGTCCCTATACCTTTTCGTTGTTTTTGTTTGTTGTCAGTTCTCGCCCCGGGCCGCAGTGTCCATTTTGCGGCGCAAATGCGACCCGGCATATCAATTGTTGTTTGCATAGCGTCCGTTTTTGACACTACGCCTATGTCAGGTATAAGGGTTCATGACGCCCTTACCTGATGTGTAGCGGGTTTACATAAGTCTTACTATAATATTTATTATAAATAGTTATGTACAAAAGGGGGGGAAGGGGAAGGGGAAGGCCACCGGCTAGTGCTGGCGGCCGGAGGTCACTGCCAGAGGTTGGCTGTCTTAGGCCAACCTCCTTCTCGAGCAGCTGTTGTAGCTAGCTGCGTCCCGACATCTCCATTCCTTCGAGAAGCTCGTCCTCGAGCTTGTGGCATGGCTGAGGTTTCGAGACGTTGTAGTGGTTGGCGTTGATGTGGTGGATGTTCTTCCGAGTGACGTGCGTTGAAGTTTGCACGTAATTTACGGCGAGAACATAAAAATGAAGTGGTGATATATCGAGATATGGCAGAAGTTCTTCCGAGTAACGTGTGTTGGAATTTACACGTGATTTACGGCGAGAACGTACAGTTGGCGTAATGATATGTTAAAATACATACAGATGTGAGGATATGGATCCGGTGGACTGCGAGCAGACACGACCTTCACCGAATAATATTTGTCAGGCCCTAAGGTCAGCAGCTGCTAGCTTCTACAATTGTCACCAGATTTACTGCTATTTTGAACGCGCGCAGACAGTTGCTGGAACGGATTAGCATAAAGGATTTGGAGCTCTAGGCCATTTGTAATAGCCGAGTATGCGATACGTTGGCAAATACTATCTTTCCGGACGAGTTATACTGCAGATTTTGTACTGTAGCTACGAATGAGCAAGTCCATTCTAAAATTAAAAAGAAAATGCGTTTGTGATCTAAAAAGCCGATGCAATAAATTCGCAATACTCTAGAAATTACGGAAATACGTGAAAAATCCTGAAGAAAAACGTGAATTAGAGCAAAAGTTCAGATATACGAAAAGACCGCAGAAGAATAAATTTTACTTGTAGGTTCAGTTTTGCAAAGGGATTTTGAAAATAGACAGATTTGGCTCAGTTATGATCATGCGGAACTGTTTATAGAAAAAAAATTTACATTTTTTTCAGTCACTTACATATAATTGCTAAATATTAATTTTGCGCTTCATGGTAAGATATATAGAGCTAAATGATGCATCCATTACTCAAAAAAATTGGGGACAAATGGGACTGCTCGCTGGACTACAGTAGGATGTATCTATGATATAATTCAGTCAAAGATCATGAGTATATTCGGTGATATGGTAACTTTGAGATTAACTCAATCAAAGACCATCACCACATTTATGAATGCAATTTTTCTTTCGGTACCTTTTTTCTGAAATGTTATTTTCTTTTCAAGAAAAGGAAGGAGGATTTTTATAATCACAGCACACTATTAGTCGTCATTACTATCAGATAAATAAAAAAACACTCACACATTCGTTCGCTTGACTTGGGCGGAAGTTGTTGTTGAGGATGTCGAGGGGTGGGAAATTCTTTTTTTTTTCGGAGCAGAAATTTTGACTACAGTTCAGAATAAAAAAAAAATCTTCCCGGGACTTCCATGTCAGGTATGAGGGTTCATGACGCCCTTACCTGATGTGTAGCGGGTTTACATAAGTCTTACTATAATATTTATTATAAATAGTTATGTACAAAAGGGGGGGGGGGGGAAGGGGAAGGCCACCGGCTAGTGCTGGCGGCCGGAGGTCACTGCCAGAGGTTGGCTGTCTTAGGCCAACCTCCTTCTCGAGCAGCTGTTGTAGCTAGCTGCGTCCCGACACCTACTTGTGTTATGTCTGATAAGGATAAAACAGTCTACCACTAACCACCTTCGTGCACATACGACATTTACCATAAGTAAGTAAGAATTATGATGGCTTCGCTTTTTAGCTCAAAAGAAAAGTCCATTTTGTGTCGAGCAATTCCGTGTGCACAGGGTGGATGGGGAGTATTAACTCCGCAGGAAAAGATGAACTCAAAAGCAAATTCCGCAGAATTGTAAGCTCTAGGTAAGGGCCCGGCACAGATAGTCTGGAAGCAGGGAGGACTTCGTTTTGCAAAAAGAAAGGAGGTATCGTTTTTGACGAGTTCGGGGCCAAGCACCAAGAATAAGCGTTATTTAGTCGAACACAAGCTTTTCAGACAGGTTACACACGATTGACATGCTCTATCGTGTATGGCGAGAAGTGCGCGCGATTTGAAAGCAAGGCTAAAATGAACAAATTGCTTGTTTACAGCGCACACAGAATCGTATGACACCAAAATTGAGCTGTATACATGGAAAATTATTTGCAAAAAAATCATGCAAAAAGATTTGAAAACTTATGTGAAGTAATACCTTTGCCAGAATTCGCGCGTTTCCAGACGATCACCAGACGATCTGAGATCGTCTGGAACATATATTTCTGTCACTTTACATAAGCTTTAGATTTTTCTATCATGGATGGATTCTCCGATCAAAAATCTATCGCTGAGCATTGAGACATTTTCATATTATTGCCTTACCCTTGTTTTTTGCCTTAATTTCTTCATAAATCGCTTTGTTAAATATCATGTTCCAATGCCAAACTCTTGTGCATGCATAGTATTCAGCTTCAAGTTGAATTTTCATTCTTATCGCTATCTTGTTTTCATCTTGTCGTAAGAAGTGGGTCAAAGAAGATTTCATAAACTCCCAAAAGTTAGGGGGGGAGGGGCTTCTTTTCGCGAAACCCTAGAAACCGACTCGTGCAGGGCCCTGCGTGCTAGCTCTATGAAATTTGGTGGATATGAGGCACACAAAAGCGATTCCAATTTAGTTTAGAGTTCCATTTCTATGCTTCTTGCTTGTTTGAGTTCATCGTGAATAAGAAATTACTCAGAGCATCATGATGATGTAGAGTGGTTTATGACATTGATACAAAACGGAACGGTTCTGAAAGTCAAGCAATGCAAGTGTGCGTCGCGTTCTTCTTCTTAAGGCTGCGTTCATACTGATTCCCATGTTCTGGAACTGTTCCCGCACAGTTCTCGCACTGTGCTGAAACTGTGCGGGAACTGTGCGGGAACAGTTCCAGAACATGGGAATCAGTATGAACGCAGCCTAATAGGTGGTAGTTGCACCATGTCGTACCCGTATGAGCGCATTCTCTGCCAAAAGGCAGCAGTATCTAAAAAACATGTAGTATTTACACAAAAGTCTGATCAAGGTTACCACCAAGCATGCAAGCTAAAAAGACTTTAAAAGCAAGATTACTACACATTTTTGATGCAGTTTTTGGCTGAGCTATCTGTGTGCCATTTTAACATCTGAAGAGGATGTGACAAGGCTAAAAAGTTGATGCATCAACATCTGCTCAAACAATTGCTATTTAGCATGTTTTCCTACCGAATTTTCCTTACGCGACAAAGTACCTACCGTTGGAAAATCCCATCTTTTTGTTTGAGGATTTGGCGTCAGTTGAATATAACGAATATCTGGCTCACTACCGACGTGCTCCCACGCCCGACTGTGATACGACGGCTTTCTGAAATAGAGGCACTTAGTGCAAGTGGTAAAACACCTCATACCCACCCCGTTTTAACAAACTCTGCAAGCTAGTCTTGCAAAAACTCGGCAATCAGTTGATCCTTCTCATTGAAATCAAAGTGCGTTAGAAATTCGTAGCCGAGAACATAAGGGTATTCGCTGCCATGCGGTGCTCCTGTAAAGGATAGAAAAGGCAGGGATTAGTGGAGTTGAAAATATAGAGTAGCAAAAAATGTATTGAAGTGCAACTTTGATTAACTTCTATGTCTAAGCAGCTTTCAGGAATAACCTCTAGACACGACATTGTAGGGCTGGCTTCAGCTTACAAGGGAACCGTGTCGAGTCAAGGTGGCCTTTCCATGAGACCCATACTGCTTTGAAGAGAGTTAAGCGGTGATTCCAAATCTGCCTTCCATATCTGCCAAGCGCCTCTGGACGCAGAGTTATGACCGTTCTTCGGAACGAAAAATGCATGCAGAATTTAGGTAAAATCGATTATTAAAATCTTTCCAGCGCTCATATAAAGCAATGTTAAGTATTAGCATATTAAATAAAATGTATCCATTGCATAAACAGCTCTGATACCTGACACTGGACCATTTGAGCAAATTTGGGCGATTTTGCTTCAGTTTTGTGTTCAATTTTTTGACCTAAAAAACGAGCATAACTCGGCGTCCAGAGGCGCTTGGCAGATTTGGAAAGCAGATTTGGAATCATCGATTAATGCTCTTCAAAGCAGTATGGGTCTCATCTGGAAAGGCCACTTCGACTGGACACGGTTCCCTTGTTAGTTCTAGATAGTAAAAAAAAGACATAGTAACAATTTCTCTTTACTGCTGTGGGATCATGGTGAGACTTTTTGAAAGAGTTTTGCGCCAATAAAAATTTACTTCACCTTAAGAAGCTGTCCTGAGAGCTGGGAACTCAGTAAAAGCTCGACCGACAAGCATTGCTGATCCCACACATGAGCTTTTTCACTGATTCTGAAATAAGTCCCTCCACTGTGGGTCCGCCCCTCATGGGGCGTGGGGATGGCCCCATTGAACTGCAAACAGCGAGTGTATACTCTGATGGGTCTTCCAAGCTGTGAAGAAATATTTTTGGCTCGGCCGGATGCTTAGCAGGCGGACCAGGCCATAGGCCGTCCGCGCAGGGCGCGGAGAGTGCGTAAGGTGTGTATTGCGCGTCAGTTACTCCTCCTTCCTCGTGCACTCTCGCCGCCTGTTTTCTCTGTGCTTCCAGTCGTGAACTGCCTTCAATGTACGCAACAGCGTTGCTCTCCGTGCGCAGCGCGGAGGCGCCTATAGATCCCCACGTCTGGCTTCTCCGCCTTAAGCGATCCCCGCTCCACACCCGAGGTTAGCTGTCGCTCAGTGGAAATTGAATGAAGGCTAGTAAGTCTGCTTCTATGGGGAAACAACCCATTACTCCCAGCTGGAGAGAAAGAAACATTGGATCCCGCCTGCGACGCGGTGTTAGCAAGAACGATGTCAGGGTCATTAGGGCGCCTGGATAGATTAGAAATGACCGTCTGCCCGGATGACACGCCATGAAGACTGCGTCACGCTCTGCACCTACAACGCCAGACGGTTTCCACAAACATCGACTTCCATCCCTTCTTGACTCTGCGGAGAACATCAAGTACCACATCATCGCTGTGCAGGAAACGAAGTCCAGGAAGAAGGACGTGCGACAGATGAGTGGTGGACCTTCATCAATTGTGCTAAAAGATTTCTATCATAAAGCGTCGAAGGTGTTAACTTTTTCGCCCACCTATGTATCGTCCATCCTTTCAATTCGCATGAGATCCTATCACCTCGACTAGCCATCCTACGACTACGACCTCCACGTTAGCAGATCATCATCATCATCAACTGTTACTCTCCAACATGAGAAGCTGACGAATCAGAAGTAGACGCTTTCTTTCAACACGTTAAGGAGGTCGTTCGCAACGAGAAGCCCTTTTGCAAGTTTGTTGTGAGCGACTCCAATGCAAAAAGCAGGATACCATCAGCAGAGAAATATAGGATCGGAAAGTTCGGATATGGGCTCTGGAACGCAGACGGTAACTGTCTTGAGCTTCTCTCCGCCGCACGACTTTTCCATGAAAATTTCATCTTATAAAAAGAATATTGCCGATGGACGTGGAGATTGCTCAAGAATGACTCAAGCAGCAGATTGACCACATTCTCACCATGAAGGTGGAGCTTGCTTGTTGCCTCAGTAGCCCAATCCTTCTCAGTGCCGATCACCGCCTCCTTCGATCGAAGATACGATTCAGTCAAAAGCAGGAAGAGAAAGTCTGTCACATGATGCAAGAAAGAAGGAAGTCGTTTATGACGGTAAAAAGCTGGAAGAGCTCATAACGAGTTGTGACTGGCCCGTGACTGACTGGTCGAGAACAGCGTACGAACGTGACCGGCTTTTGCAACGATTGCGAGCCTGCGGTCTGGAACGGATTTCGAAGACCTCCAAGAAATTCCTAGAAAGAAGAAAATCCCTGAGGCAAGATCCATGTGCAACCCATCTCGAAAAAGATGGGATTGCATTCGGATTTGAATTCTTGCGTCTTATCTCAAAGGAAGAGACCACTGTGATTATCAGGTATCGCTGCCTGTACTATTGAACGAAAACGGGACTCCGACTTTTTCCCGATACAAGAAAAATCTAAGGAGAAGGGCTTCTACACCAATCTACTCTCATCAACGCGCGTGCTGATGCCCGTTGTTCCCACTCAAACAGTACCTTACGGATTTTACCTGCTGAAGTGCGCGCAGCGATCAGAACACGAAAACGTCAATGACTCCAGGACCAATCCATCTTTCCATCGAATTTATGGGAGCCGGTTGAGAAATTCTCGCATCGCAACTTATGTCTTACTTTCAAAAAGAGAGGAAATTCGGCAGTGTGAAGAGCTTCAAAAAACCATTTATACCCGACCGAGTCATTAAGGCAATCAGGCATATGATGCGAGGTCGATTGCAAAATGATATTATGCTTATGAACATCCCATCACTCGGAGGAATAAACTGTATGATATAGATTACGTGAACGAGACATGCATTGCTTGCCCTCAGGGGAAGGTGGGCGAGCGAAAACGGTAGTTGTATACCAACTCCAGCGATAAGTTACGATGTCTTCTATATCGGCGAAACCGGTAGAGCGCTAAATGTAACAGAGAATCACAAGCAGGTGAAAGACGAGGGAACCCGGCATCACTGCTAAGCAAAACGAGATGAAGCGCATAGTGATGGTGAATTTGATGTCAAATGTAGAATTATATCGAACATGGAACTTACTTACTGGCGCACATAAGCTTAATAACAGCATACCGTGCATTTAAAAGCAGCGTCCAGGCCAGAGGTGCGATGGGGGGAGCCGGGCTCACCAAAAGTGAAGGTGGTCCCAGCTACTACTGGCCGGCCAAAAGTGAAGATGGTAGTGTCGGACACTCACCTCCCCAAAACGTCGACGGGGGGGGGGGGAGGGGAGTGAGGGGGGAGGTGCGGGGGAGGGGATAGAACAGACGAGCAGAGCTATCTTTCTAGGTCGAACTGTGACCCAACGGCCCTCTTTAGGGCCACAGATACGATGAATATTAAAAATATTTATAAATTTTGTTTATAAAAATTTAAAATAGACGTGTTTAGTAGATGGTGTATTTGCAAGTAAATGTTTGTTGGATTTTGTTAAGCAAATTTTGTTATAACGTACAGCGAAGAAAGTAGATCGATCCAGGCAGTAACGGCCGAGAACCAGAATTTTGAATAATTAAATAGTGAAAAATCATGCGAAATTTCCACTGTTATAAATCTGTTGTTTGAAGATGTCAGCAGTTGCGACTTCATAGGTTTTGAAGGGTAAATGGCGCTATATCAGAAGGTGAAGGAATCGAGTCGATTTGAGAGATAGTCGTTGAAAACCAGAATTCTAAAAACTTACGCCATTTTTGCGCGTTTTCTGACAGTTGACAGTTAAACTCATCTAAATCTTGAAAGCGAAAGTGTGTGATCTTGCGAATTCATAGGTTTTGTAGAGTAAAATTTGCCTTATCAGGGCATATCTTAGCCGTTCCGATCCATTGGAAATGCGCCGAGATCCAGAGTCTTGAAAAAGCAAATAAAAAAGCGCTTTTTGAAATTCAACAGCTCATAACTTCTTAAGAACTGCATGATTCATGTTGCGACTTCACAGGTTAGATTCTTCTCATCAAGAGCTTTCAGATAATATATAATATGTGGGGGTTAGGGCCTCTTACAGATTATGCCCGTGGGGGAGCCTTTTCATACTAAAGTCTCCCCCCTCCAATACATTAACCCATTGACGGCCATGCAGATTTTCGTTTGTCTGCCTTCTGGAACCAAGTCCTTTTACGAACCAGGCCACATTTTTCGTCTACAATTACGCATACTGCCATCTACACTACACCTACAGCAAATACGAAAGGCTGACAGAAAAGATAGAGGTCATCCTTAGATTCAGTGCAAAATAAAGCTCATGGAGTGAGTCTATCCTAGCATAGTAGCTATTTCAACGAAGTTCAAACCTAGGCGTCCCTCACGGTAGTCATTGCTTGACACACCATGTGTGTCAAGCGGTCGTCAATGTGTTAAAGTGGGCTAGGGGGAGACTTTGGTATGAAAAGGCTCCCCCACGGGCATAATTTGTAGGAGGCCCTAAACCCCCACATTTTATATACCTTCTGAAAGCTCTTGATGAGAAGAATCTAACCTATGAAGTCGCAACATGATTCATGCAGCTCTTAAGAAGTTATGAGCTGTTGAATTTTAAAAGGTGCTTTTATATTTGCATATCCAAGGCTCTGGATCTCGGCGCTTTTCCAATGGATCGGAACGGCTAAGATATGCCCTGATAATGCAAACCTTACTCTACAAAACCTATGAAGTCGCAAGATCACACACTTTCGCTTTCAAGATTTAGATGAGTTTAACTGTCAACTGTCAGAAAACTCGCAAAAATGGCGTAAGTTTTTAGAATTCTGGTTTTCAACGACTATCTCTCAAATCGACTCGATTCCTTCACCTTCTGATATAGCACCATTTACCCTTCAAAACCTATGAAGTCGCAACTGCTGACATCTTCAAACAACAGATTTATAACAGTGGAAATTTCGCATGATTTTTCACTATTTAATTATTCAAAATTCTGGTTCTCGGCCGTTACTGCCTGGATCAATCTACTTTCTTCGCTGTACATTAAAACAAAATTTGCTTAATAAAATCCGTACAGCTTCGCTAAGTTTTACTTCTAAATTACACCATTTATTGAACACGTTTATTTTGAATATATATGCCCCGTATACATAATTATACGCTTTCAATAATCTTTTTTTGCGTTTGTTTTGCTTTCCTTCTTTGTCGTCCAGCGAAAAATTTTTGTTCTAAAAGTGATGGTGATCATTCTGTACCAGCTCATAAGTGAAGGTAGGGGGAGAATCGGCTCCCACTATCGCACCTCTGGTCCAGGCAAGTCTGGGCACATGGGGATCTCACGTGGATAGTAATTTTGGGGCTCTAACTAGGCCGCTGCCCAACCGGCAGCTAGGTAGTGCTCTAACGGCTGAGATATTCCCCTCGAAACTGGACCCCGCGATCGTATTTCGCATGGCATGGCGCAGAGCGTGGGTCCTGGCGCGAAACTGCTATGAATCCAAGCGAATACGATCGCGGGGTCCAGTTTCGAGGAGAATATCTCAGCCGTTAGAGCACTAACTGCGCTGCCGCTTGGGCAGTGCCTTAGTTAAGGCCCCAAAAGTACTTTCCACGTAAAAGCCCCATAGGTCCAGATCTGCCTGGACACTGCCTTCAAATAACTATCATAGAATAAAAAAACATGCTACACAACATTAGAAAGTTTTTCATGGATTCTGCAGGCTACGAGTTCCTCTATAATGCCTCCAAAACTTTGTCATTACTACGATTGAAGTGACAGATGGGTACTGTGGTACTTCCAAATTTACTCGAAACTTCCATTTCCTCATAAGCGAGTTTTAAGTGAATTGGCGTTGCATGATTGAGATACATCAGACTGCGTGCATAAGAAACCAAGCAATCTATGCAAGTTTGTACACATACAAAAGGAAAAACTTCGACGTAACAAAAATTTGCATTTCTTATCCAAAACTGTTTTAAGAAGTCTGCTGACTTTCCTCTTTCGATAATGAATATTGCTCCAGTTCACATAGCCCCGTCATTTTGCAATGAGAAGATAAAACTAACCTTTCAGCTTTTTGGGTACATCGTTCCAGATTGCATCATTATAATAGTCAAGTATGTATGCATACACATTCCAGCCAGCATTGCGACGAGCCAATATGTCATCAACGATTGCAGCTTTAAATATGAGATTGCTGACAAACTAAAAATTCGAGTTACTTATAACGTCCTGCCATCAAAAGACCTTACCTCGGTATATCGGTTGATATAGAATTCTGATCGTCTTTCTCCGTTCCCGTCAATGTAAAATGATATGACATCATTTTGCAAATCATCTACCTAGATGGTCTCCTACGTATACGAGCTGTATATAGTCCTAAAAGCACCACATCTCACCCAATATACCACTACGAATTCGAGTCTTAACTTCAACTTTTTTACGAGCACGTCTCTGTTCCATGTACTGAACTCCGCTGGATTCACTCCAGATTTATGGAGTGCAGCGTCATAGTCCAAAATGGCTAGAAAAAACAAGGTTCACATTGCAAAATTGGCAGATAGAAAATTTTTGGCTCAGTGAAAATCAGAAAGTGATGAAGAGGGCTGAAATCAGTAATGGTGAACGGAAACACGAATTTTGGTTTTCCTGGCTGCTCTCTATCTTGTTTTGCTTGAACGTGATTCGAAGAAAGCAGTAACGGTGGCCAGACTTCGTTATGCATAGTAAAGACATATTGGGCCAGGGCTCGGCACAGGTGGCTTGTAAGCAAGCTAAGTATTGTTTTTGGGACAAAAAGCAAAGGGGGTTTCGTTTTTGTGACCGAAGAGAGACGCAAAATTGGCGACTTGGCGACGTTTTTTTTAGTCGACGAGGTTTCTAGAGGAAATTTGGTTGAGGGTCAAAGGGGACTTCGTAAAAATTCCCAAAAGTCAAGGGGGACTTCGTTTTTTCCATTTTCATCTAGCCACCTCTGCCGAGCCCTGTATCGGGCTTACGAGCCTACATAGACAAAGGAAAAGCTGTAAGACGAGTCAATGGACGATGTAGCTTCTGAAAACAGGACATGAGAAAAACTTGTTCAAAACATAAATGCGTACTATTTCAATATCTAGCATGTGAAGTTACACACACATTATGCGACTGCATCATATCGTGAAAGATCTTGATTTTTCTCAATTCCCAAGATCAAACTGAAGTACGTAAGTCTTGCATCAATCCAGTATGTACAGTTGCTTTACACATGAGGATTACGTAACTGTAATTTATTCGACTCACTAAATAAGGAAGCTTCATTACTCGTTACTTCAAAAAATGTCGATCTGGAAGTAGCACATGAAACCATTTCTTCCGGATGTTGAAGAAATTCACCGTCAATTACTGGACCCCATTTTAGAAACCAGAGCCCTTCACTTGTTGTACCATCTTATATATAAAGCTGAATGTCTGTTTGTCTGTCTGTATGTCTGTCTGTATGTCTGTGTGTACGTATGTTCCGAATAGAAAATTCCATTTCTGAACCAATCGGGACCAAACTTGGCACACATACACTTCGGGCCCCGGCGGGTGTCATAGGCTACTTTTCGTCATCGATCGATATCGATTTTATCGATTTTTTGCAAAATTTGCAAAAAATCTTTTTTTGCAAAACCCCCGTGGGGGTGATCAGCATGCTGGATTACCCCCCTGTGCCAACTCCCAGCCCCGTAGCTCAAATTTTGCAAAAAATCGATAAAATCGACATCGATCGATAACGAAAAGTGGACTGTGACACCCGACGGGGCCCGAAGTGTATGTGTGCCAAGTTTGGTCCGGATCGGTTAAGAAATGGAATTTTCTATTCGGAACATACGGCGGAGCCGGGTAAGCCAGCTAGTAAAACATAAGCTTCAATTGACTTCAATCAGAGCCATCCAAGCGCTATCAACTTCTTTTATACAAAAAGAGTATTTTTTAACTAAGACCAAAAAATTTCACATTTTGATAAAGGTTCAAGCAATTTTAGTGATCAAAAATCAAATTCATTTTCTGGGTATTTTCCTCAATCAGCTTTCATCGCTGCATATGCCCTCAAAAAAATTTGACTAGAGTACCTGCAGAAAGCGCAAGATTCTCTCTCTATATAGTATGTATCAAATCAGAAGAGTTCATTGCAGCCTGAGGAAGTTACAGGATTTGAAAAACTTTGGTGCAGGAGTTATGCATCAACACAGTGCGTTTTCGAATCCAAAGAGTTCTTACGACGTCTTTGACCGCATTATCAATCTCACTGGTAGATTTTCTTTTCAAGCATTCTTTGATTTTGATATCACATTTCAAGACCTGCAAAGTTGTAACATTCATCTATTTGTAAGTTGATGCTCAAATCGTTGTTCGTAGCGTCCACCTTCGCCAGTTCCAAGGAATTATTTGTTACACTAGCTCGTGTAGCCCATGATACGAATGGAGAACCAGCCAGTTCTATGGATTTGGCAATGTAATCTATAAACCATGCAATATATAGATAACAATAATGAATTTGTGTAGCCAACATAAATTATATTCACATTATATTGATGGCAGTGGCTCGACAAAACTGAACTCTCAAAGAACTAATATGCTAGATGTCCTTCCCAAACATGAAAATAGAGCAAGTACGAGCCCGCCAAGAAAACTGCACTCCGAATCCTGCGCAAGCCAATCTTACACGAGTTCGCGATTACCTTTTTACCTCGCAGGGAGAACGTTGTAAGCATAAGGGTCCCGCAATACTTCGTGCCTCCAATCTTAGCGGGAAGATTCCAAATTCAAAATGAAGAACCTTGGGAAACGCTGGTTCTCGTCGTTTTTCGCGCTCGCCAAGAGTTGGCCAGAGGTTGCTGCCATCTATAGCTAAGGTTACCAGGCATTGACTAACGTGACTATCATGTGATCCCACAACAGAGCTGGCCGTTGTGGGAACACATGCGTTATGCGCTTTCGCAACCAGCAACCTCAGCAACCCCAGCAACAATTGCCAGCCTATGGCCGATCCACAAGGTGATTTTCGGGACCAGCGCGTTGGATTTACCCCAAGTGAGCAAAAAAGTTTTGAGTGTAGATTTGCCGGGCCATTGCCTTTAAAATATCTCTTCGGCGAAATATACATCTATTACACTCTCAGACAATCGCTGGGGGCAGGCGGGCACCGGAAAAATAGATTGCTGATTTCTCGCACCCCGCTCGCGGATTTTTGGAAAGCAATCAGGACTTTTCGGAAGACCGCTCGCTGAGTCAGCGGATTTTTGAGAGACCGCCTGTTGAATTTTTTTCGCTCTTATCTTTTGCAGATATATTGCTGAATCTCTGAGGAATCGAGAACTCAGCAAGCGGTCTTCCGAAAAGTCCTGATTGCTTTCCAAAAAATCCGCGAGCGGGGTGCGAGAGATCAGCAATCTATTTTTCCGGTGCCCGCCTGCCCCCGGCGATTGTCTGAGCTTGTGATAAGTGCTTACCGCGAGTGACTGGACTCAGCACAAGCTGTCCTGTTGCTGCTGAACCTGCGCTGTGACCCCATACAGTAATACTCGAAGAATTTCCACCGAAGTTTTCTGCGTTTGTGTGTACGAACAATACGACAGTTAATCTATAGTATTGACTAACGGATTGGCCACTTTCAAGGCTTCTGCCATGTCATATAAACCCATGTTGCCCCGTATACATTCATCTTCAGTGGAAAAGAATCCTTTAATAATCATCTTGGTTGAGCTAAGAAAGAATGTCTGGACAGAATATTCATACCGTACATAAAAGTAAGCCAGGATTCGTCTCCATCAAAGGATACGTAAAGATTATCTTACCGTAAACACCCAGTCGATACTGTATTGAGACAACCATGATACCCCTCGATGCATACATGTTGGCGAAACCTTTGTATCCAATCTCCTTGGCTGACTCAACTTCGTAAGCGCCGCCATGTATCCACAAAAGTATGGGAAGGCTTGTCGTATTATGCTAAGAATTAGTAAATTGGTCAGAAAACAGTTAAATGGAAATTACTTCAATTTTTGGTCGAATTATGTTAAGCGTCAAGCAATCCTCGCTCGTCTGTGGCATCGTCAACAGTTGCAGGCATATTGGTCCAAATTTTGTACTGTCGCGTACGTTCTTCCACGAAGCCATATGCTTGGGTCTCTGTATACTTATTTCGAGCACTTAACACAGCTTTTAGAATATGCAAAAGCAATATATACCTCGAACCGTAGCTCGCCTACAGGAGGTAACGCGTAAGGTATGTTGAGAAAAACTTCTATCTCTTGTTGTTTTCTGTTTGGTAGACAAATCCTTGCACTTTCCCAGGTTTCAAGTCAAGAATTGGATTTGCGGACGATTGTTCGGAGAGAACGGCAAGCAGCAGTAATATCATCCTCAAGAAGTGCTCTCCAACAGAATGAAAACTTATTAATTTGTAATTTAATTACTATAATTCTTTTTGTCCCCCACGATGGTTCGCCGCCTCAAAGTGGCGTGGGGGTGGCCCTGGGTGTCAGCTACCTCCAGCCAGAGTTTAACCTCTGGCTCCCGGACGCCCAGCAAAGAGCGAACCGGGTCAGCTTCCGCCGTCTGACTAATAGGTCGTTAGGCGGGTCCCCACTCCACATAGTGATGGTCAGCGATCGCCTGAATATGGTAGGCCTGAGCAGGCCTGGTAAGCCGACTCAGTGCCGGGGAAAAAATTTAAAACTCGAGCAGCAAGTAAAGGAATAAAGCCCTGTCATCAGACCCCGACTAAGGCGCCGGAAGGAAACAAGGCTGGTGGCAGGTTGCTCAGGGCGCCATTTGGATTGGACAAAAACGGCACACCTGCGGCGACCCGCCATGGAGACTGCTTCATGCTCTGCACTTACAACGCCAGAACAGTCTCCACAGACGCCGACCTTCACGCTCTACTCCACGCCGCAGGGCACATCAAGTACCACGTCATCGCCCTGCAGGAAACGAAGTCCAGGAAGAAGACGTGCGACATTTGAGCGATGGGACCCTCGTCATTCGTGGTGAGAAAGTTCCGTCGCGGAACGTGGGAGGCGTCGGCTTTGTCGTCCACCCAACGATCGTCCATCTCGTCGATTCGCATGAAATCCTGTCTCCCCGACTGGCCATCCTTCGTCTACACCCTCCACACCAGAAGACCATCAGCATTATCAACTGCTATTCTCCAACATCAGCAGCTGATGATTCGGAATTGGATGCTTTTTACGAGCATGTAGAGGAGGTCGTCCGCAACGAGAAGTCCTTCTACAAGTTTGTTGTGGGTGACTTTAACGCGAAAATCGGGATGAAACTAGAAGAGGAGTATAGGATCGGGAAATTTGGATTTGGGCTCCGGAATGATAACGGCAACCGTCTTATTGGGATCCTATCCGCCGCACGCCTGTTTCATGGAAACTCACTTTTCATGAAGAAAGAACAATGACGATGGACATGGGAGTCACCCAATGGAACGACACATGCGGAGATTGACCACATACTCACCAACCGAAGATGGTGCCTACTTGACGTATCGGTAGTGCCATCTTTTGCAGTGGTTCTGATCACCGCCACTTACCAGCGAAGGTACGATTCAGTCAAAAGCTGGAAAGGAAGATTTGCCATCGCAGTCCACGAAGGAAGGAAGTCGTTTACGACGGTCAAAGGTTAGAGGAGCTCTTATCATGTTGTGAGTGGCCCATCGAGGAAGACCCAACAAAGGACTACGAGCTGCTTCTCAAAGGATTGGAAGCCTGTGGGTATTGCGCCTCAACAACTCGTGCAAGGAACTTGGATCGCATCCCAAGCACCACCAAGGAATTGCTCGATAAAAGAAGATCCTTGAGGCTGGATCCGAATGCATCTCACCTCGAGCGGTTGGTGGCAAATACCAGCTGCAGAACGGCATTGGAGGAGGATCTACGAAAGTACAGGCAAAGGAGGATTTTGGAAGCCGCTGAACAAAGACGAAGTCTGAAGAAATGCCGAAGGGACCTTTGCGACTACCACATACCACTGGGAGCGTTATTAAACGAAAATGGGATACCAACAACTTCCCGCCAAGAAATGGAATCGATCGCGAAGAGTTTCTACACCAACCTCTTCCGCTCATCAACACCCGTGCCAGACCCCGCTGTTCCCACTGGAGACACACCACCACGAATTCTTCCTGCTGAAGTACGCGTCGCGATCCAGACCATGAAGACGTCCACAACTCCAGGACCAGACCATCTTTCCGTGGACCTGCTGAGAGCTGGAGGACACTGTCCACACGAGATTCTGGCGGCGCACCTAACATCTTGTCTCCAGAAGGAAAGGATTCCCGACCAGTGGAGAACGTCAAGAACCGTTCTTCTCTTCAAGAAGGGCGAACGGGAAGATCTTCGAAACTATCGTCCGATATGCCTGTTGAGCGTGCTGTATAAGCTTTTCACCAAGATCATTCTCACTCGCATCTCAAGGACACTGGATGAAGCCCAACCTCCAGAACAAGCTGGATTTCGCAAGGGATTCAGTTGCATGGATCACATCCAGACGGTTTCGAGGGTCATAGAAGTTTGCCGGGAGTACCGATTACCTCTCGTCCTAACCTTCGTCGACTACGAGAAGGCATTTGACAGCGTCGAGTTCAACGCTATCCTGTCAGCGCTAGTCGATCAAGGAGTGGATCCGTCATATGTGAGGACATTAGCCAACTGCTACAAGGACTGCACTACAACGCTACAGCTGTTCCATCGCCCCCTGACTGTACCAATAGGGAAGGGAGTCCGACAAGGCGATACCATATCGCCTAAGCTGTTCACGGCGGCCTTGCAGTGGGTGATGAAATCACTGGACTGGAATGAGAGAGGTATACGAGTTGATGGGAGATTCCTCTCGAATCTTCGTTTCGCGGACGACATCGTTCTCTTCTCGAGCAGTATCAATGAAGCCGAGACGATGTTAAAGGAATTGAACGAAGTAGGGAAGACGATTGGACTGCGAATCAATCGGAAGAAGACCCAGTTCATGAAGAACGGCCTAATTGAGGATACGGAATTGAAGCTGGAAGATTCCCCAATCACGGAGACCTCTTCTTACGTGTATCTAGGACGTTCAATGAACATGCAGAACGACTTAAGAAGAACTCAACAGAAGGCGAAGAGCAGCTTGGGCCGCTTACGGGCCTTTGAAAGAAGCCACCGACCAACTAACGGACCCTGCGCTCCGAGCTCATCTGTTCGATTCAACCGTTCTCCCAGCGCTCTGCTACGCAGCCGAGACGTGGGCTGACACTGCTGCCACGTCGAAAGCTCTTCGTACCACCCACAGAGCGATGGAGCGGAGTCTTTTGAAGTTTAACCGACGTACGCAACATCTTGCCGGACTTCGCAGTTCTGATTTAAGAAGTATGTCCCGTCTACGAGACCCAGTCGAGTATGTTTCGAAGGTAAAGTACCGATGGGCCGGTCACATTGCAAGAAGAACAGACGACAGATGGACGTTAAGAACGCTGGAATGGATCCCTCGCGATGTAAAACGCCCTCGAGGAAGACCCCCCACCAGGTGGGCAGATGTGTTCGTGGAAAGGATGGACCAGCTGAAAAACCAGCTGGAAGCGAATTTTACACCTAGATCTCGTGATCTTCGCCATCAACGACCGATACGAAAATCGTGGTTGACGCTTGCGAGGGATAGGAACGGATGGAAGCTGTGCTGCGGCCCGCACGACACGTGAGGACGGGCCAACTAAGTAACTAAGTAAGTAAGTAATTCTTTTTGTACAAATTTATTGGCCATAATTGCTGAAGAAAGGGTAGTTTGGGAACAAATTTGTAGTGTAGCAGTAACACGCTCTGTACACCACCCAGCAAGTAGATTCCAAAGGCAAGCTGTCTGTTGAAGCCAAGTTTACAAATGGTGGGTGGCCCAAGCGTATGTGATTGTGCCTTATTTAACTGCACTCAAAAAAAAATTTTTTTCAAATGAGCTCTTGAATTAACAGGTCCGATCTGCATTCCGTTACTTACCATAATAGACTAACATAAACTGGCTTTATGGTAGTTCTTGAAGCGGAAGGCACGAGATGGGACAGCGATGAAAATATTCTTCTCTGACGGGCTTGAACCGGGCTTGAGCATGATTCCAGATTTGGATGAAAAAAGGTGAGTTTTTTTTCTGATAAAAAGGAATGACACAGACGTTTTTTGTCGTTAAGAGAAGAATATTGAATGAGGAAGGAAGCTTGGTGGTGGGTTTTGAGTCTTTCACAGCTACGCGCTCTTGTTTTGTTCGTGGAAAATACTCTAATACCCCAATTTCACAAGTACAAGATGCACATCTTAATTTTCGAAGCAGCTCGTGCGCATTACTTGCTTAGCGAAATGGTGGCTGTCCCAACAATTCCTAGAACGCCCATAATCGGCCGCGGAACTGGTGGGGAAACTGAGCCGCGCCCCAGTGCCAATCGATTGGAGCACGTTATCCTTCCCGCACTTAGAGTATCTGAATGGACACATGCATTGTGAAACAATTTGCTTCACTTCGCTTGCCACAGAGCATACTACATCTTACTGACAGCTTGAGGCAGTGTTTTTTAGTTTTCAACTTGCTAGTACAAGTTTCTGCTTGTCACTGTCTTATCTGGTATATACTAATTCCTCCTTATTTTGAGCAAATTGATGTGTTCATGCTTTATCTTACGTCACGCACCAGTCGTTCTGTTTTCGGTTGTGAACCTATGTTTTAGCATGTTGTTATCTTGAATAAGAAAGATATACGCATATTGTATATCCACACAGCATGAAAGAGCGAATGGTTCTAGTCAGACCAGTGGGTAATTATCGTCCAAGCCATTTGGTTCAGAGAAATGCAGTTTTTATGGTCACATGAGAAGCATCTTAGCTTCATCGATAGGGAATTCAGAAGCGGAAACATCTGACAAATTATGTCAACGAGTTCAGTCATTATGATAACAGTCTTGGGTGTTTATGCTTCTGAACACCTACAAACTAGCTTCAGTTCGCTTCTCACTTCAGATGCCTTATTAGTTTCATTGCAGTTCTCACAGTGCCAAACGGAGTATTTGCTGCACTCGTGTTGTTTTCACGAGCGTTTGTGATCGTATGTTTTGGTTTTCTGCTGCATGTATCCTAAAAACTTATCATCGGCTCCAC